TTGCAAGATGGTGGTAATAGTACTGATGATATGATGGTAGTGTTATTGTTAATAACAGTATATGATAATAACAGTATATGGTATACACTGCTAAAATGTGGCCATATGAGACCCAGATTACCTCCAAATGTGGTATAAGTGATCGTCTCAATGTGTCTTGGGTGCTTTCACAACTGGAGTTCTCCACTTGTGATTGGATCACCAAAGACGCCTGTAAATGCCAGGTGTAAACCGGGCCAGAGCTGTTATGATGATAAAAAAATAATCTGCAGACTCCTTGCCTGGATGAAGTGTGGAATATTTGAACCATTTAAATTGTCAGACCAAGTGACAAACAGCGAATAAAAACTTTATTTACATATATTTTCGTCAATACATTACTTATGTCAATGTCAATGTGTTGATGCATTTGTTATCCATCTACATGAATATAAACGTTACTAGCCTATTATACCAGCACTGATGTTGTGATTCCGAGGAAGCATGATATTGCCACCAGTTTCATAGATATGTTCATTGTCTGATTACTGACAAAAAGAAACAATTATTTTATTGTTGGTCACTTCTGACTGTACTTTGAACTAATTTTGCCTCAAATGTTTACTTTAATTAAATTGTATTTGTCTACAGCAGGATTAAAAAAGCTGAATAATGTTAAAGGGAATTTTGTAATGAATTCAAAAGGCATTTATTACAGGATTAAGTACTGTTCTGAGTAGAAAAATCCTTGAAATAAATATTTTGTGTAGTCCTTAATAATAGTAGTAGTCCATAATATTTGGTCATATTGGCCAGCTTTGTCATTTTGTTGTACTTATTGAGCTGGATATCAGCCGTGGTCTGGACAGGTTGGGTGCTCATTTTCTACAGACACATCAGGTTATGTGAGAGTGTATTTTTACTGGAGTTAGACTGTAAACATTTTCAGATGGAGTTAAAGCTCTGAATATGAATAACAACATTATCTTGTTTCCTTCAAAGGTGTGTGTTGTTTGACACACCCATATATGAGCGGACATTACTCCTCCACCAGCTCCTCCGACCACCAGTGACGGACCTTCTGCCATCACTTCCATCCACAATGGCTTGGAAGAAGCAGAGGAGCTGCCACCACCCAGCCCAGAGACACAGTCAGTGGTTATTTCTCCTCTGACTGCTCCTGGTGAAGGTTACTCTTTGGTCTCAAGTGCACACCAAGTGCAATGAGCTGCCCTTCAGGGTTGTTAATAAGTTAATAAACATATATTTAAGAATATCCATTTAGTATATCATTAGTAGAAATTAACCAAATACCTCTATTTCACTGCATTTTTCAACAGCTGTAGTAAATACAAAATGTAGCACCCAGTTTAACTACAGTTTTTACTATATATACTTTAAACAAAAAATTAGTTAAACAAAAAAAAAAGCCTTGAGACTCTTTATAGTTTATATAGTGTATCAGTTCGTCTGGTGGATAATACCAAAGACAATTGTAAATAATCAGATTACTACAAAGTAACTGTGAACATGAGGCTTTTGGGGCACATGAGGCGTTAAGGTCCACCTTGCTCTGTTGGTAATCCAGCCATTCAACCCACCATGTGCTGGTGTTTCTAAAGCACAAATATATCTATATCAGTAGAGGGCAGCATACTCTAAGCATCAAAATGTTTTAAAGCCAAAAATGAAATATAAACTAATTAGTGATGGTCCAGGAATACAGATTGATGAATGTGGGTTTGAGCCACCAGACAATGTACCTACAGTGTTAGGTGCTCTGTAGTTCTTACTGTGTGATTGAAATATATTTAACACATACTCTGTTATAGAAAAGGGTTCATGTGCAGGTGTTGTTCTGTGCTATGTTTGCGTTAATTCGTAGTGTTGATGTATATGCACTGTGAGGGGCAAAGCCTAAGGCAGTCTAAATGTGTGGGCGTTAGCATGAGAAACTGTGTTGATCGCGTTGTGTATTAATGCAGGGTGTGTGTGGTGTGGTGTCAGCCAAGGTGAGACTGACAGTGACAGTGGCGTGCATGGTGAGAGCAGTAGATTTAACCTCCACTGCTGGTAGATAGGTAGACAGTAATGAGCATTCCAGCATTAGTTTCTTACAACTGTCTCACACTGGGGGAGGGGGCGCTTTCATTAAGTGAGATTAAATCACATGCAATGCTTCAGCAGCATGTCCCCGAGCCAAAAGTCACCCTCTTGCTTTAAAAATAGACAAATACATTTCAGAGAAGATTTGCTCTTTTTGTTGGTGGCGGCTTGACAACCTGTTTTAATGTCCCAGCAGCATGACTGGGATGTCACAGCGTGTGGGAACGAGATGACGTGTAAGGCGATGTTTTTGGACGTTGCCCTTTTCCTGATTCCACACCCACCTCCTCTTCACCAGCTCGCGACATGTTCTGAAGCAGTGCTGCTTTGCACCCGTCAGGGCACATCGCCGGCGAGGATGGGTGGAATATGACACCACAGGATCCGCAGCGACAGCCGAGAGCAACGGTGGACAACATCTTGCTTAAGAGTAAAAAACAGGATGACACCAAGTCCAAAGCAGAAACAACAAAACCTCCCTCGTGATCCCTCTTCTGCTAGTGCAGCTGCATGAGAGAGGCAAACACGTAAAGAGGAAGATGAGTCTTGTAGGATCAGTTCATAAATTAGATTTATTTTGTTACAGTATTTAGTTATACTCATTCCAAATTTTTCATTTCGTAAGTGAAATTAAATGATTTTCTGGAAACAATTCTGTTCTGAGGAAAAACCCTGCACACCATAAGCACCATGATTTTGTTGTTTCTAGTATGTACAGTTACATATACTCATTATTACTTCTGCTTACAGTAAGTTATACTGTACACAAATATGCCACACATGTTTTTCTTCTCACCATGCACAGGTTTCTTTGACCTGAAGCATAGGCACTGAATTTGTCCTCGTTTCTAAAGAAAATAATAAACCTCTAGATTCTGACCCATGTGTTCAACCCTTTCCCTCCTACTGTTTTGGCAAATGTCCAACAAGCAAGGAAAATGTTTTCATCTAAAATATTTTCATAGAAAAAGATGAACAGCTCATGTGACGTAGACATTTTAGGAATAGGCAATACATTCATTAGAACATTAACCCATGCACATTACAGCAACAATGTTTTTTCTCGTTAGGCTTTAAGCCTTTGAGTTTCTTTTTTATTATATTTTGTTGTTGGCTCAACCTTACTGATAGTATTAGGGAATTAAGTCAGTCTGTCACAGCGCTGACTCTTTGTTGAACATCTTAAAAGGGTTTGCGTGTGTGCCTACACAGTTACAGTAGAGCTGAAATACAATGAAGGCAGACAAGGTGCTTTGTTGGTCTGATAAACATCGAGTACGTTAGTTTGTGCAACGCCACTCGAGAACCATACTGACGACCTTGAGAGAACAAATGTTAAAGAAACACTCTGTGTGAAGTAAACTCCTTGTTGTGTTTGGTTCTGATCTCCTGCTCTGACTTGCAGCTGCAAAACTCATCTTTGGCAAAATGTAATTCACTGATAGTCTTACATTTATACATTCTGATGTACAAAAAGAACAATCCATTCAAAGTAGGCTGTAAAATAACTGTTGTGCTACTCCCTAAAGGTGCTATGTGTAGCAATTTAAACCAGTTTGTCAATGAAAACTACTGTAAGCTGTGATGGCTTGGTTATTATTATTATTATGATAAATAAATAGGAAAAGGCGGAGATAATTACTAGCTACTATTTAACACCATTGGTGCTGCATTATTAGTGCTCGACTTTCTCAAATGTACAACCATGTTTCCCATAAACTGTCACAAATGATATTGCTGCTTGTCCTCATGTGTCATTCTCTTTACTGAAAAGGACAAACATGTCTGAATTCATTTTTCTCTTGTCATTTCTTACCATCTATCTTCTGCCATTGCCAGAAACAATCAAGCACCATCTTAACAAACCTAAGCCACTGCCACACAATGGGAAATCTTTTGTAGAATGCGGACAGAGAAGCAAATCTTCATCATGGCTCTGAGTATTTGTTAAATATAACACTAACTCAAATTGAATGTGGCAACGGTTTACTGATGTGCCAATGATACACATAGCACCTTAAATCTACATTCTCCCGTCTCATTCATTCACTCATATGTGTGTGTATGTACACACA